CCCACCGGGTGTTTTGTCCCGTTTGTTTTTTTACTTCAAAATAAGATATGTGCAGTGTGCATAGGAATTTGTTCATAGTTTGCTTGGTTTTTAACTATAGTCTGGCCCTCCAACGGGTCTGAGGGACAGTGAACTGGCCCCCTGTTTAAAAAGTTTGAGGACCCCTGCTTTAGAAACTACCAGGAACTGGGAAGGCATGATAACTGAGTGCAGGGTGGTACGTTGGGTGGGATCCTGGAGCAGAAAGAGGATGTTAAAGGAAAACGGGTGAACTGCAAATAAAGCCTGGATCTGAGTTGATAACATTATACCAGCGCCGGCTTCTTGGCTTTGGCAGCTGGGTCAGGGTTATGTAAGACGTGAACCATGGGGAACACAGGGGAGGAGCGAGTGCACAGAAACTGTGTGGACTCTCTGCCCGTTTCTGTAATTCTAAAGGATTCTAAAACAAATATGTTGATTAAAAATGAAAAAGAAGTCCCTTAGAAATGAAAGTGGAGACATTTCAACCTACACATGAATACACACTATGTTCATTCCACCAGATTTCCTTTTCACTCCTAGCTAGTCTCCATCAGGCCCCCAAGTCACTCTCCAACCCGAAGGGAAAGAAGGAAAAGGAAGTGGCAGTAGGCACCGTCAAGGCCCTCGGGCCACGAGACGGGGCAGCTGCGAGTCCTGGCAGGGCAGCCAGGCCGCCTGCGTGGACAGATGCTGGCTGTTTCCTCAGCCAGAAATGCTGCGTGAGCTTCACACGCAGGAGGGGTGTGTCCTTCGGGGACACTCTGTCAGCGGCAGTCTGTCCTGCCCCGTTACGTGGACAAGGTCTCATCCTGGACTAAAAGGATCCTCTTTTTTGGGCGGTAACAGCTATTTTTAACTTGTCTTTGAACAGCCCGGGTGGTTTGACAGCAACGTGACTGCAGTATGTCGCAGTGGAGTGCTGTCATTCAGAACAAGGTTTCAGGCGGAGGCCTAGCTTGCCAAAGGAGAAAAGGAAAAAGCTCTCGGGTCTGCAGGCAGGGATGAGGCGCTTCAGACTCCAGAGGGAGGGGCTCGAAGTTCCTCCTTCTGCCCCAGGGTCCCCTCCCATCACCTTGTGCTAAAAGCTGTCGTTGTCAGATACCCTGAGCTGGTTGTCACCGCCAGCCAGTGGCCCTGTGGTACAGCGGCCCCAAGCACGGCCTGGTCCGCAGGCCGCTCACGGAGGGCCATCCTCTGCTCCAGCGGCCGCGATGTCCTTTCTCAAAGACTCTCTCTTCTGGTCACATGGCCGAAGGAGCACGTGAGACAAGTCTCCCCGGCCTGGCCTCGGAGGAGCATTCCGGCTGCACTTCCCCAGGAGGCTGGCTTAAGACTAGGGGAGTTGAAAAGAAAGCTGTCTTTCCTGTCTTGTCCATGGCCCAGGAGGAGGCTCGCTCAGGGCTGCCTGTTCTCCTTGGGGTGCTGACCCGTGAGAGAGCGTTGAACACGCCTGGAGTGCTGAAAGAAGAGCTGGGGCCCAGAGGGCTCCAAGCAAAGCAAGGAGAGCACTCTGCGACAAAGACCAATGCCTTGGCACCCAGGTCCTGGACCACAGTGTGCCCACAGCTGACTGCGCCGCAAGGCCTTTGTGTGTTCCACTGGCACACCGAAGTCCCGCAGGCCTGGGCCACGGGGACAGCAGCTCCGGAGTGCAGGGGTGGGCGGAGGGAAAGAACAGCAGGGAGAGAGTCTGCCCACTGCAGTGCCTCCCTTGCCTCCAGGGGAAAAGTGCCCAGAAAACACGATTAGCAACGCTCGGCGTTTATTTCCTATTTAGTCAAACAGGGATGAGGACATCTGTTCTCCTGACCTCCCAGGCTACAGAGGGCAAACCGAGTAAAGAACGAGAGAGCTCTTTTGCACGCTGGAGGCCCCTGCGGATGAGAGGTGTGGCTGCCAGGCTGGCACTGCCCCCCCCCCTGCCCCCCACCCCCCCAGGCCGGGCTGCTCTCTCTGCGCCTGCTCGGGGGAAGGCGGCTGCACCTACCATGTCTTTCTGGAGCTGGAGCCTCCTCTGCGTCCGCTTCTGGTTTTCCTTCACACTGCTGTCCAGGTTTGCAAACTTGGACGTTCCTTCCTGGGAAACAGAGCACACAAAAGACAAGAGGGGTAGAGGTGAACACCAGAGAGCAGTAGCGCATAACAGTCTGAAGGTTGCGTCAAAGGATAGACAGAGGCTAGCCTACAGACACACAGACCAGTTTAACAATGCTGAGTCAAAGAAGGCAGACATCCTGCCCCCACCCCACCAAACACCTATTGTCCAATTTCAGAAAACTCTAGAAGATGAAAACACATCTGGTTGGACAGAAAGCAGACCCCGTGTTGCCTGGGACAGAGTGGGTGGCTAGGGGACCAGGGCGAAGGAGAAGTTACAGGGAATGTTTGGGCAAGATTGACATGTTCAGTATCTCGATTGTGGTATGGGTTTTACAGGTTTAAAATTTTATTTATTTACTTTTTATTATTTAATCATTTTATTGGGGGCTTGTACAACTCTCATCACAATCCATCCATCCATCCATTGGGTCAAGCACATTTGTACATTTGCTGCCCTCATCATCCTCAAAACATTTTCTTTCTACTTGAGCCCTTGAGATCAGCATCTCACTTTTTCCCCTCCCTCCCCCACCCAGGTTTAAAATTTTAAATCATAGGCTTTAAATACGGGTGGGAGGGGGTGAACTTCAAGAAGTTTGTAGAAAATGGAATTAAAAGATAACGGCATGAGTCCATGAACTTTTGGAAGGCTCACACGTGTGCACTCGATTGCATGTCAATCATACCTCAATGAAACGGTGTTTATAAAACCAAAAATCTAAGCCCACTGCCATCAAGTCATTCTGACTCAAAGAAGTCTTAGACATGGTTTCGGAGATGTCCAGTCTTTACAGGAGCAGCCGGCCTCCTCTTTCTCCCTCGGAATGGCTCACAGGCCTGAATCTCTGACCTTGCAGGTGGCCGTCCCGTGTGTAAGCCCCAGTGCCACAGGAAGGAGGGGGAGGAAAGAAGCCTGCAGCACGCCCCTGGGCTGCATTGCACGCTCACAGAAACGTGCCGGCTTGCTGCAAGTGTGCTCTTTGTAGTCGGGGGAGCGGGGGCGTCTTCAGTTATGCGGAGTTGTCTCAGGATTTATAGAGTCTGTGACTTAGTTGTAAAATTAATCATTAAGGCATGACAAGCAATCCCAGGCTCTGTGGTAATTTTCACACATCCCAAATTCCACTCAGTGTCACCACGTGCCCTAGAAATGAGGATCTCATCTTCTGGGCATTGTGTCCTTTCTCGGTCTTGGCCTGAAATGGATGTGCCAGCATTCTGGGGAAGGACAGGGACTCTTTCTGTGGTATTTCTTGGGTAATTGAAACGTGTGTTCCAGAAGTTTCTGAGGAAGTTCCGTGTCCTGAACCACCCTGATCCATACAAGCCAGAACCTTCGTCCATGGCTCTCCTCTCCTTCTCCCCCACCCTGCTCTCTCCAGTGGCCTCTCGGGTTTGGAACTCTGACAAACCAGTCCTTCCTCCCGGTGCCTGAGGACAGAGGGCTGCCCTTGCTTGCCTCCCTCCCCCTGCAACAACAAGCTCTTCCACACAATGACTAATCTTGAGTTTGCTGACCGAACATAAACTGTTTTCGGGTTTGTGGTTCCAGAGTCAAGTTCAGTTCTCATTTTCCGGGAACTGTATGAATGGGAGGCAAGTTTCACAATTCAGTAGTGTTTAACCTCAGATGTCGGATCCCGCACTAGTCTTTCCTTAGTCAGCTTTCTTTGGATGTGCTCTATTACATTGGCATGTACCCTTCCACTACTGTACAAGTCCGAGATTTAATTTCAGCACCTTGGCCTTGGTCATGGTGGAGAGGCATTATCATAGTCAATTAGTCCAATGGGAACAGAATCTACGGTGACTTGCTCTCTAGGTTAATTCTCCTTATTAAAAGTGGTCATCAGGATGGTTACCATTGAATGATCTCTTGTATCTAACTTTTCCCTGAGGGTGAATGAAAGTGGCCTAGAACGTGGCATTTCCTGTGCAAGGTGGTTGTGAGTCCTTCCCAAATTCTGGAGAATTCGCTTGGAGTGAGAAGTCAACGATGCCTGACTTGAACATGAGCGGCACTCTCCTTCCAATATGCATGTCCTTTGGCTGTCTTCAATTCTCTGACTCATCGGCAGAGCTTTTGCTGGATAGAGATGCTTGCTGACATATTTTAAATTCATAGTAGGAATTTCTGAAAAGTTTAAGAGTTACAGAATAAGAGAAGACAACGGGCATCTTAAAGGAGCACCAAGGATGATGTCCTCCTCCATGCTAAGAGGGACCGAGACAGGAGACGGGGAGCTCAGAGACTCATTCCTCTCGTGACTTCGAGCTTTCAGGAGAACTTGATCTCAACCCTTGCTGAAACATGACAGAGATGAGGGCCAGTTCTTCCTAACAAGGTGTCAACTGGGATCCACCGATAGTGTCAGAGTTTTCCTTCCTCGGCCCTAAATGCTCTGTTCTGCGATGCCTCACAACATCAATCTCTTGAAACATTGTGCGCCTTCTCACAGGTGTTGGTGGCTGCGTCACTGCGGTTCTCTGCCCCTGCCCTCTCTGCTGCTCCGGCTCAAGTTCTCCTACAAACTCCTCTGCTTTCTGTCAAAGTCATCTTCTTGAGCTTGCTCTTCTCATGTCTTTGGAAATATTATCCCATCCCCTGACATCGATTTATCACCTATGTTGGGAGGAATTCCAAATCCTTCCCTCTGCTCCGTCCTGCTCACCTCCTGTTTCACCTTTATCCTTCTTCCTCCCTCTCTTCAATGCCAGCCTCTCACCTAAGTCTTTATAGCCCCATCTTTAGGGGGTTCGACTGTCCCCATCCACCCTGTTCCTGGGCCTCAGAAGGAAGCCTCTTTGAGGGTGCTAGCCATTGGATCCTTCTCAATAAATGCTTGTTGACTGATAGCTCCGAAGCTAATGGCCATTTCTATTTGAATAGCTCGTCACCGTTTTAATAGTCTCCTGCATCAAATGACTCCCCTGGCCTCTGAATATTTAGGCCCAACTTTGACACGAGTATGTTTGTGAGCTTCGCTGGACACACAGCTTCACCAGAGACAGGTCGCTGGGCCTTCCAAGGAGTTGTCTATGCCAACCCAACCCGGGGCAATTCTCACACAGCCCCCCAAGGACCAAGAAGATTCGATCGCGGTCTGCTTTTGTGTTATGATAAAATCTGTGGACACCATGATTCAACTGCTTAGAATGATCTAACTTTCAGAAATCACGAAGCAATAACAGGTTTAAGGTCATCTTTGAGAAGAAATCAAACTACGTTTTTCAACAATTACAAGGAAAATCACAAGTTTTTTGTTTTGAGGTGGGTTTTTTTGCTGTTTAGTGGGTTGCCTGGGACACAGTATTATAGTACTACCTAGTCTTACGTAGAATTAGTCTTACCTAGAAGTAAAAGAATACAGGGCATTGAAGACAAAGCTACCCAACTATTAATCAGGGTAAATCCATATAAAACACAGAAGCCAGACGTTTGTCGTCGTAGTTCATTTGAGAACCAAAGTGTCCCGATTTCATTATCAAAAAGAGAGTGAACACCCAGAACAGTACACTGCATATGAAGAATGACCAACAAAGATAATTAGAAAGGGATCCACAAACATATGGACTGCCTGAAACATTGTTATTGCCACCGTTAGTGGAAATGTGCAGACTCACACATTCATCATCCAGTGTTGTTGTTGTTAATTTCTTGGAGATTTGAACTATATATAAGAAAGTTAACTTGGGTGCTGGATGAACTTTTGTGTTTAAGAAAGGTTTATAGGATTTTTGATGTCTACATATAGCTTTGCTTCTAAAGTTTCTGTCAAAAGATCTCCACCAGGCATCAAGCTGCATGGGATTTAATTTATCTGCTTTGGAAGGATGACTCAGGGCTATTGGGATTTGAATGAGAGGCTCCAGCTAGTCTAGCTTCATATTACTGACAGTGAGACCACTAAGCCGTCTTCTTTCAGCCAGATGAATTTCCATTTAAAGCCTGCAGTTCCAAGGGGATGGAGAGCAGGAAACAGCACTGTCTTAGCAAGCACTGCTTAGTGTACAGTTCATCAGGCAGACCGAGTCCAAAGTCAGACATCAGCATAAACTGCCATCTCCTATCATTTCCACCAAGAAGCGCTAACCGTGCATACATTACCAAAGTCACATGGATTATAAAGTCCATCAATTGATGATGTTGTCAAACAATATTTCTGAACATTAACTAAACCTCAGATATTGACTTAGAGATTAGAAATGCATAAACGAAAAGATATACTCAATCCAACCTTTAAGAGGGTTATTTTTAAAACGCACTGCCACCAAATCAATTCTGATTTATAATGACTGCGTAAGGCAGAGCACAGGTAAAAACAAGCCGAGACTAAGACATGGGCATTTCCAATGGATCAGTATCAAGTACCTGGACAGAGGGGTGATGAGCTCATCAGACTCGGGAGCATCAGACAAACGCTTGCAGGAGAGGGGTGTCTACACGGACACATGCACTTAAGAAGCAAGATTTAGGAAGAAAGACATGAAAACCACACAGGTGCGCCTGCAGGATGGCTGATCTGAGAGTTGTCAACTGGGACCTTTTTGTTAGTAACTCCACTTCCACTTGAATACTCATTCTCACTGTAGGCTCACATGTAGTCTGAGTTTTATTTGTTTGCATTTGCTATGCAGTGCCATCAACAACATTGTTTTTCTCCACAAACAGGTGCTGTGCGGTGATTTGGCAGTTCTGCCATGATGTACTCTCGCGCTCTATTGTATGTGGGTATGATGGTCCTCCGTGTGTGAGGTGCTCTACGTCCTGACTCCGTGTGTTCGTGGCTCGTGAGGTTTTGGTTAGGTTAGGTTGTTGTAGTAAGGAGGCAGGATTAGGGCAGAAGGCAACCCCTTTGCGCATCCTTCACCTTTACTTGTCTTCATCACCTTTTGGATGCACATCTTTTACCCTGACCTGAGGTAACTGGAGTTTCCCTGGGGTGTGGTCTACATTACTGTTCACCATCAAACAAGCAAACAAATCCATTGCCATTGAGTCCACGCTGACTTACAGTGACCCTGTGGGGTAGGGTAGAACAGCCCTCTGTGAGTTTCTGGGTCTGTAACTCTTTCTGGGAGTAAAAGGCCCTCTCTCCCTCAGAGCAGCTGGTGGCTTTGAACTGCTGACCTTCCAGAGAGTGCCCAATATGTAAACACGATGCCACCAGGCTCCTTTTTACCTTATAAGAAAGAAGCCAGGAGATAGAGGGAGCTGGGAGCTCTGTATCTTGAAGAAAGAAGAGCCGAGAGCAAAGGATCCCCAAGAAGGAAGAGCCAGTCCCTGTGCTGAGACCCTCCAAGACCCAGAGGAAGACTGACGCCCAGACACAGGGAGCTCTTCAAGGGATGCTGGGCAGGGACGTTAGGTCCACAGATGTTGAAAAGGGACAAGAACCTTCCCCCCACCGTCAACACAGAGCGAAAGCCTTTCCATTTGAACTTGAAAGCTCCAAAAATGTAAGAGAATACATTCATTTGTCAAAAACACCCATTTGTGGTATTTCTGTGATATATGGAAACATTATGTAATTAAGACATGTATATTATGGGTGTGGCTTTTTTTTCCGTGATAGCTCTCCAAATACTAAAAATTTAAAAATAACATAATAAATTTTTAAAACTAGTGCTTTCAAATATTTTACTTGTGTCAATCCTCAAAACAATTCTATGAGGTCAGTAAATCAAACATGCCTCCACTTTCCAGAAAAGAATCTAGGGACAAGACTCATATCTTTTAAATGAACACTTCAGGGTTTCTACTGATGATAGTACTGAATATACAATTGTGGAATTGTCTGTTTTGCTAGCTTTTTCCATAAGGCTCTAGCCCCTCTGAGCTCAGGGCCTGTCTTCTGTGTGGTTGCATCTCCAGTGCTTAGCATGAGTGAATCCTCAACGAATCTTTGATTAGATGACTGATTTATCTTCTCTCAGAAGCTCTGGTGGTATCATAGTTATGCAGTTGGCTGCTAATTGCAAGGCCAGCAGTTCAAAACCACCAGTGCCTCCTCAGGAGAAAGACGAGGCTGTCTCCTCCCAGAAACAGATAGTCTGGAAGCCCACGGGGGCAGTTCTGCCCTGTCCTTTAGGGTCACTGTAAGTTGGCATTGACTCCCTGGCAGTGAGCTGGTTTTTGTTTTTGTTTTTAATCATTTTATTAGGGGCTCAGACAACTCTTATCACAATCCATACATACATCAATTGTGTAAAGCACATTTGTACATTCATTGCCCTCGTCATTCTCAAAACATTTGCTCTCCACTTAGGCTCCTGGCTTCAGCTCCTCATTTTCCCCCCTCCATCCCTGCTCCCCGCTCCCTCATGAACCCTTGATAATTTATAAATTATTATTTTGTCATATCTTACACTGTCTGAGGACGACTCCCTTCACCCAGTTCTCTGTTGTCCGTCCCCCAGGGAGGAGGTCACAAGCAGATCCTTGTAATCGGTTCCCCTTTTCCACCCCACCCTCCATCTACCCTCCTGTATCGCCACTCACACCACTGGTCCTGTAGGGATCATCCGCCCTGGATTCCCTGTGTTTCCAGTTCCTTTCTGTACCAGTGTACATCCTTTGCTCTAGCTTTTGTTTTATTTTGTAAGAAGCCTTACTTGAACTACCCTGCCCCTATTTCCAAGTCATCAAAGGAACAGCGTTGTGCCTAAGTGGCCAAAGCACAGGTTTTCTGGTGGCACGAGGGGAAACGAACATAGCATTGTCACCACCTACCAGGCATGTGAGTGAGGGCACCTAGCGCTCCTACCTGAGTCTTAGCTATCTGTAAAATTAAGGTGCTAATATCTACTTTATAGAAAGGCTCCGAGGCAAGTATCTGACCTGTTTTAATTCCCCTCCTAGTGACTACACACCTGTCATTTTTACCTTTGTCTGTCACTAATTCTTAAGCACTTGTCTCCATCACTACAAAGTGCTCTAGAAGGTAGAAGCTGCGCTTCGCTGTTGTGAGGTGCCACTGAGTCCATTCCGACGCCTGTCCACCCTGTGTACAACAGAGGGCAGCACTGCCCGGGCAGGGGTCTTCTGATGTCCGAGCCCATTGTGGCAGCCACTTTGTCAGTCCATCTTGTCGAAGGTCTTCCTCTTTTTCGCTGCCTGGCTACTTGGCCAAGCATGATGTCCTTCTCCAGGGACTGGTCTCTCCTGACATGCCCAAAGCCTGCCCATCCTGGCCTCTCAGGCGCATTCTGACGGTCCTTCTTCCAAGACAGATTCACTTGTTCTTTCAGCTTTCCACGGTACTTTCCATATTCTTCCACAGCACCCTTCTTCAGATACACGGATTCTCCTTTGGCCTTCCTTTTTAATGTTCAACTTTCAGTTGTTTATGAGGCAATTGAAAATAACACGACTGGGTCAGGCACATCATAGCCCTCAAAGGGACAGCCTTGCTGTGCAACACTTTAAAGAGGCCTTGTGCAGCGATTTACCCGATGCAACATCTTTCGATCCCTTGACTGCTGCTTCCATGGGCACTGATTGTGGACCCAAGCAAGACAAAATCCTTGACAACTTTAATATTTCTCTATTTACCAAGATGATACTTATTAGTGCAATTGTGAGGGTTTTTAGTTTTCTTTACATCAAGTTGTAATCCATGTTGAAGGCTGCAGTCCTTGATCTCCACCAGCAAGGGCTTCAAGTCGTTCAGCAAGCAAGGTCGTGTCACCCACACACTGCAGGTCGTTGACAAGCCTTCCTGCAATCCCAAGGCCACATCAGTCTGCACAGAAGCCAGCTTCTGTGTGCTACTCATCTTCGTGTTCCTCGAGGCCGTCCCAGTGCTTTCCAACACTAGCCATTCAACAATGTCTGGGGAAATAAGATGAACCACGCTATCTCCTAACCTAGCAAGTATCCCGGAAGTCAGCATCCATCTGGTATTTAAGCAACATTGCTGATCGAAGGATTGTGCCATTCAGACCACCCAAAGGAGAGGGAATTGCAGGTTTGGGCTCTATCCTTCTAGGGGTCATGTTGCTGAGAAAGGCTGCCCTGGGGCCTCTCACCCACCAGCAAGTGCCAGCACTTGGTATTTGCAGAGCAGCTTGTTCAAGAAGCCCACATGTGAGTGCACGTTTCACAATCTGATTACACAATAGTGGCTCTAAGGACAGGGGAAAGAGCGCGCAACTGGACTTAGGACTTCCTGGGTCCCCAGCTCCTTAGACTGCATAAATAAATAGAAGCCCTGCCGTCTAGTCCCCCCAGACTTCCTCAGCGCGCTAAAGACATGTAAGGAGAAGTCAAGCCACCTTCTTTGGAATGTGCTTCAGAGCGAGGACAGTGCGCTGAGTGCTCTGGGTAAGCGCGTGGCTGTTGGTGGCTGGCGCCCCTGAGGGGCTCCACAGGAGAAAGACTGGGGTCTGCTCCCAGAAAACCTGACGAGGGGGTTCTACTCTCTCACAGGAGCAGAACTGACTCCACGAGCGGGCTCGTGCACGCCCCCCCCCACACACACACCCCCACACCTCCACAACTAAGGGCCCTCTCCAAGGGCCGCACCTTCATCAGCAGTTCCCGGCTGGTCAAATGGTTATTATGGTCTGAGAAGATATCCGAAAGTTCTTCAAACATCAGCATTCGGTCCCTAGGAAGAGGAATTGAGAAACTATTAACACATGACCTCCAGCCCAGCTGTCCTCATTACTCCCGGGCAATTACACCCATCTTAGGGCCAGTGGATAATAAGCATATAGATGATGCTAAGGACCTTATTCATGCATGGTGGCTCCCCACACCCCTTTGTAAAGGCCCCCATAGCCACATGTATAGAGAATATTTACTAACCATTCACGTCATCATCATGAAATAGTTAAGTTGGGGCGTTTAACTGTACAATTGGGCCATGTCCTCCTCGGTAATTTAAAACAAGGTATTTTAGCAACCCAGACAAAGCTCACTGGAAGCTGGGGTTCATGTGGGCCACACCCCAAATCAAACCCCTGCCATTGGGTCAATTCCGACTCATAGCAACCCTACAAGGCAGGGTACCACTGCCCCTGTGGGTGCCCGAGACGGAGACTCTTTGTGGGGGTCAAAAGCTTCATCTTTCTCCCTCGGAGCTGCTGATGGTTTCAAACTGCCGACCTTATGGTGAGCCACCTAACTCGTAATGGCTCTGCCACCAGGGGTCCTACATTCCAACTCTATTGGCTAGGCCCCTCCTATTCAAGACAAAGAAGGCCGGGCCAGGGTTCTCCCCAAATTCCCACTAGGAATTGCTCATGGTTCTATGTATAGAATGCCAATTTCCAGAACCACAGCCCAGTGTTCACCCCTCAGAGGCAGGGGGGATGGTACAACCAGCAAGACTCTGGAGTCAGCGGGGATGACGTTCATTTTCCAACTCTGCCACTGACTTTCTGAGTGATCTTGGACAAGTCATTTAAACTTTCCTGAGCGGCAGTTTTCTTATCTGCACGATGGAAATGCTGGTTGCTAGCTAGCTCATAGGATGGCTGTGTGAGTCAGGGGGTTCCCTGTGGAAAGCACCACTCTGCTCTTGGCCCTGTAAAGTGTGCTCCTCTCACTGAGCGAATTAGTCTGAAGGCGGTGCACGAATGGGGCTAGTACACACTATCTGCAGCGCTTTCATTATTGTGGAAAAGTCACCATTAAGAACCTATTTTTGACTTGCAATAAATGGAAAATGTATGTATCATTTGTAAGAAATCATTTCAGAACTTAATTACATGTGGCCCTAAATAGAGAGAGATAAACAAATGTGCTCTATGCCTTCTAAAAGTTAGAAACAAAGAATTTCAGAGAAAAGCATGAAATGCACACTTTATTATTAGACATACCCTTCTACATAAGAATGATTCCATGGATCTATCAATAGTAGCTATGTGAAACTGACAAGAGAGCATCTTCTTTGAGCAACCGGGGTCCTCGTACAGCATCTCCGATACATCCACCACCCAACTGAGAAACCAAGCAGACACCCAGGGTGTTCAGGATGGGGCTTTCATTTTGTTTGTTTGGGGAAAGGGTTGAGAAATCCAGCTAGAAGAACGGACCATCTCAGGGATGGGAGGAAAGGGCGGACTAAACAGAGTGCACTGGAGAGACAGTAAAGATCAGAGGGATTCACCTGACTGGACAGTGAAAACCTTGTCAACTGATCCCCACTCTGAGGATGTACCTGATCTCGTTTTCAACATTTTCTGCATTTTTGTTTAATTTAATTTTGTTTTCGCTTGTTCATAGTAGGTTTTATCTCAGAGGTGTTATGTCATTGGGGGATCACCCTCTTGAAGTTCTGTTTTTCGGTATATGAAACCCAGGATTGACGATGCTATAGGGACAGCAAGTAGAAGGGTTTGGGGGAGTGAGTGGGACACAGTGGTGTGGGGAGAGGGAGGGCAAAAGGGAGACAATGTCAAGGAGTCCAGGAACCAAAAGAATGCTTGGAAACTGACTGTGGTAGCAATTGTCCAGTATTGCTTGATGTGATCGAACTATGGAATGACATATGTATTGATTCCCAATTAATATTAAGTGGACCTTTTCATCAGGTAATCAAGGAGACCTCCACTAATTCTTTTTACTTGTGTTTTCACCTCAAATGCACTCTGGAATAAATCTCAGCTGGTCAGAGTGACTTCCTGTCATGTTTTACTGTCAGCCACCAGAATAAGACGGGGTTGCCTACTGTGGTGGCAATCAGGTCAGGATGCATTTCGACACTGACCATCACTTTGTTCCTGGTGCCAGAGTCGGGGAGAGGTCTTGGCAAAGAACGTAAGTGATATGAAAGGGTGGGGACGGGGTGCAGGGGAGGGTTTCATTTCCATTTCACTAGAACCTGTCATCTGATGATGTTATAGCAAACCCCGAGGAAGCTGGCAGCTGGGTAAAGTGCAAACCAATCACAGAAGCAAAGTTCGAACCTTTTTCCACTCAAGTTGCCAATAGACAAGTGATGAGCTGCACCCTGCCTGCGGGGCAACCTGTCGGGGTCCAGGAAGAAGGGCTGTCCCACCAAGACCGGACTCTCGCAGGTGCCACTGGATGCAATCCTCGACTTTAGCTGGATATGTGCACGGAGGAGAATCTCTCTCTTACACACACACACACACACACACACACACACACACACACACACACGCAGGGCTCCCTTGACTATTCAGGAGAACAAAAAGGAGATGGCCCTGTGACAAGTGCGGTCATCCAGAGGAGGCCGCTGCATTTGGGCAAGCACATGTCCCAATGCTGCTCCTGAGCAATAACCGTGCTGTCAACAGAGCCCGCGCTCTGGCATTCGAGAGGCTGCGCTGCTTCTGGTTCTATAGTCTTGTCAGTAGGCATTAAGATAACCCGAGTCAACTTGTTGCTGACTCTTTACCCACCAGAGAATTCCTTCATAAGTCATCTGACTTTCCTTTGGTGAGCCCATCTGGGTCCCCTGAGAGGTGGGGCAGGGTCCGTCTCTTCGGGCTTAAGCAGCTCCAGGGAAGTGATGAAGCTGTGTCCCTGGACCTTGACCGTCCACTCAGGACTAGCCAGCTGGCCTCTCTCCGGACAGAAACTGGCCGCACTGCAAGGAGCACAGCCTACACCAGGCTTACACATTCCTCCCTGACGTTTCCGGACTGGGGCAAAGCTGGCTGGAGCTGTTGGCTGTACTTAGCCTGGCTGGTGACCACCGCCACAACCCCCAGGCTCTGAGGGGGACCAGGGCTGCCCCAGTCACTCCTCTCTCCCTCCTACGCAAAAATGTTTCTATCTACAAACGGAATTTGATAAAAGGTCTTAGCCCACAGGGACAGAGCAATGGTGGAACAATCAAGGCGTTCAATCGCTAATTGTTCTCAAGGTTGTACAGAGAAATATGAAGGAAAAGCAACGCTGACTGAGGCCAGCTCAACCATTTCAGGCTGGTCCCCCGGGAGGAGGATGTGAGAGGTTTTCACGTCCCTAAAATAGCCATGGATATGCTGATGCGGGAACAGATTAAGCGGCTTGGTGAATAGCAAGAACTAACAACGTCCTGCCTGCACAGATTACCCTTGGCCCCCCAATAGCTCAGGGCTGTGGAGTCAGGGTGAAACAGAGCAAGCAGTCGGGCGTCAGACGCCACACCACGGGGTCTGACCCCTCCGAACCGAGAAAATCGGCACACCCTTAGAAGCACCCCAAAGCCACGTCCTGGCCTAGCGGCACACTTGAGACGTGAGCTTGCTTTCTGCAGCAGCCCTGCGCCCATTTGACTGATGAAATCGAAAACGCACTCCGCCTGGATCCCACTGTCTCTCCGGTCGGTCACGGTCACCCAAGGTGGGGAGCGGTCGCCTTTAGGCGAGCGCACACCGCGCCCTCGCCAAAGCAGAGGGAGGAGAGCAGACACCCGGGCACTTACTTTGGGACTGCAGTCCAAGTCTTCTTCAGCCGGTAGATGGAATTAGACTGCAGCGCCGAAACGATGGCCCGCAAAGAGGAAAAGTTCTTCAGGATTCTGCATTCCTGTCAGGGCAGGCGGGGAGTGATTAAAACATAAAAGCCGGTTCAATATCAATATTGCAGTGAGTCGGTGGTTTCCTGTTGTAGAGGTAGCACAGCTGCCACGAATTCTTACCCCTGACCAGGCAGCTGTATAAATACTGAACATCGAAAAAGTGGCTCCTTACTCCCACCCGGCACTGAAGCCTTTTTCAGTGGTTGGCACTCCCAGCTTGTTTTCCTCCCTTTAATAGATTTGTCTGCGTTGTTGTTATAGTTTTATGGTTTCCAGCGTGCCTAGTAACAACACTAACGGAGGTGAGTGTGCACAGCGAGGCCAGAGACAGCAAACTTCCTGCTGCTGAGAGCACACCCAGGCCCTGAGATGGCACGGCCCCACCACTGTGTCCCTCAGACCCTCACGGGGGGGGGGTGGGCAGGGAGGGGGCGGAGCGCGCAGGACCAGGGGCTGCGTGTTGAGATCAGACGGGATCCAACATCTCGTGACCAATCCCTCGCCCCGGGAGGTGGACATAACTTGGCAGTAAAAGTTCACCACGAGTTGAACCTTGGCTTTTATGTGCATAGCCAAGAGGGGATATTTTTATACACATTCATTATGTTTTGCATTGGCTTGTCCCACAACTATAAACATTTAGAAACACCTTGGTACTTCAATGCTTCCAAAATAACTTGGGTTTTTGTTTGTTTTTTAACTTGGGTTTTAAAAAAATTTTCTTTTTGGCTGTGTTTTAAAACAAGCTGGCAAAAAGGAGCACGGGTTGTGGGGGGGGTGGCATTCTGGAAACCACTTTCTCAGTAAAGAGAAAGGTTCTCTGCTCCTGAAACTTCAGCTACGACGTGGAGCCAAGACTGTCGGCGAGGGCCCTGGGCACCAAGGTTCTACTGAGTGGGTGACAGGAACAGCAAAGCGGGGGCCGGGAGGGCCCCACTTCTTACCCCGCACTGGGATGGTGGTAGGAGGGCCCCACTCCTTAGCAGGCACTGGGATGGTGGTGGGAGAGCCCCACCCCTTACCCCTGCACTGGGATGGTGGTGGAAGGGCTCCACTCCTTACCCCCGCACTGGGATGGTGGTGGGAGGCCCCCACCCTTTACACACACACACACACACACACACCGCACTGGGATGGTGGTGGGAGGGCCCCACTCCTTAGCAGGCACTGGGATGGTGGAGCATTGGAGAGGGAGGCCCAGGCCTTACGCCAAGGGAGATGATTTCTAAGAAGCGCACAGGAGTGTTTGTGAGCCAGCACACCATGTGAGCAAGGAGAACCTGGGGCCAGGGGTTCCCGGGTGGCCAAATGTAAAGTCGCATTGCTTCGAGGATCACTTCAGGAAGCGAGGCAAATCCTGAGTGTGGCGGAAGAGCAGCGTTCTCCAAGTTAGCATGCCTACCTTAAAACTGTGCCACAGGAACCAACCCCCAAATAGTAACTTCATGAAAGTCACGACTACTTTCTAATGAACATACTAATGTGTGTGCATGCCTCGCTGTCCTCCCTTGTCCACACTCAAAAAGAAAGGAGGCGGGCAAAGCTCTGTGTCACTCAGTCTGGCCACCAAACCCGCGAATGCACGGTTCATCAAAGGTTCAGAATCTAAAAGTGCTGTTCTAGAAATCTGGAAAGTTGCAATACATAAAGGCACGCAGGCCCAAGTATTTCATGCAAATGATAATAAACATATGGAACACATCCCGCAGTGCGAGGCTCCGCCTTGGGTTTAAAGGCATCTGGCCCCGTCTCGGGAAGAGGGAGTTTCTTCCAGGACATGGGAGGCAAGCACAGAAAGCGAGTGTTAAGGCCAGTCCAAGAAAACATAGATTAGGTCAGAAATCTTTTCTGTGTATAAAATTGTTACCATTTTCCAAACAAACTCCTCAAGAGAAACTGATGAATGCAGGAAAGGTGAAGGAAGTCTTGGCAGGAAGCCACGGACGGCTTTCATTGTTTTATTACATCATCCCACACAGCAGACCCACCGTCTGTTTGTTTGTTTTTTAAAAAGGGCCTGTCACCAACAGTAAGCACATGCTATGGGATGTGGAGTACACTTGGAATTATTCAACCTCTATTTCTGTTTCTTACTATGAACTAAATGGTAATTTGCGTCCTTTGGAGCAAAAGCTATAGTGTGAGGCGCTGTGTTCTCCACGCATTCTGTTCTTTCTGCGGACGTTAGAGGCAGCTGGATGCATCATGGGCAGGCGGGACATCTCCTTCCAGGGGCAGTGGGGGCGTGGCGGGG